ATCGATGTTTAGTCGTGATCAGCGTGATGAAGAGTCCTTAATAAAGTTTTGGGCAAATTGCAAACATGGACGCGCATACCGTACACCATCGTAACTAGAAAGTTAGCACTGCCGTGCCAAAACGATAAAGTTTCTCTAATAGATCGAATTTCAGCCAAATCTATGATCTATCTCACTGTGTAGCCATCGTAGTCACAGATAACTTTATTGGGAGAAAAGCAAGATATTCGTGATCATCATGTCAGGAAACCTCTATACAATACCTCTCTTAATTTGTGAAGGCGGCGGCATAACTCAAGCGGCGGCCACCGAAGTTAGGCGGCAAGCACCCCGTTAGACGACAAAGTTAGGCGGCCGCCGCCTAACTTTTTTAGAAATTGTCGAAAGATCTTATCTTGATTCGAAGTTTATGAATTCTATATTTAAGAGTACCATTCAACTCTGCTCGGCGAGGCGCATCTTCCAGTATATAGGTGCGCCCAGTCGTGGGAATAGGTTTTTTCTAATTTTAGTGTGAATGGATCATTCAGTGTGCTGATTCCAGAGGCCACATTCTGTTGAGCACTGCAGAAATACGGTAGGTATAGTTTAAGAGCTCATTCTGCACGGCTTTTCTCGGCGAAGTATGACAGGTCTCAAAATGCAGGAAGACAAAAGGGAATGGCTGGAAATCGCATTTGAAGCACATATCGTGGAATGCCGCGCGTGTTGTGCAATGTACAATACTACCCATAGAACGATAATTCGGAAATTTCGCGAAATTTCAGGATTATCGCAAATTACATAGCGCCATAACTTTCTTCGAAATGAATATATACTAATTCCGAGAGCTGCTTGTGCTCAGCTTGTTAAGGCGAACCTTTGGCACACATCATGTCCTCTATATCTCGTTTCCAGTTTCTCAAATTCTTCTGCGGTGGTCCTTTCGCAAGGATGTAAACGCAGCGCCTATCCAACATAAAAGATTCCAGTAAGTATCATTCGATAAGCTGTTTGTAGATTATAGTGCGCTAGAAAGTAGCCGCAGATTTCTTTTCAAAAGAGGCAGAAGCGTTGGTGAATTCTGGAAAAATCACGCGTTTCCAAATTCTTCTCACCGTAACTCTAAAAGATGAAGCTCTCTTGCTAGGCAGATGTGATCGTAATTAGCAGGTTGGATAACCCTTACGAGCAAGATCCGAGATGTTCGGATGATTTCATTTTTTCTCGCTTTACGCTCTGTAGCTAATGGGTTTTGGTCCAAATTTTGATGATCTTGAATTTTAGAGAAACTCCGCTCATAAAGGTTTTTGAACACGCTGTTTATGGTCTTTGAGTAATATATGGTCTTTCTGCATAGATATGGTGAGGTAACCAATCAAGTTGGAATTTCGACGATATGCGATCTTTAGATTTTGGGCGAAGTTCATGAGGAGTGTTTTCGTCGGCTCGTAAATCGGCGATTTTCATAGATTAGAGCCTGAGACATGCACCATTCTATGGCATAGTTCCCAGTAAATTTAACCTACAGAAGCAAGCGGGCAAGTTTCCTGACAGATACGCGAGAAGTGCGAGCAAAGTTACGCACTTTCGTGATTCAGTTACAGTCACCTCATCGTATCTCTTCAAAAAGACCCTGTAATCCTCAAGGACCATGATTTTTGTAAAGAGCGTGTTTGAAAACCTCTATGAGGGAAGTTTCCTGACAATTCAAGGGCATGAACATTTTGACCAAGATCCATCGGCGGGCTTCCAGAGCGTAAAACAAAAAATGAAGTAACCCGAACACATCGGAAAACTTGCTCATAGGGGTTGTCCCATCTGCTGATTACGATAATCACATAAACTTGGCAAGAGAGCTTCGTATTCTAGGGCCATGGCGAGTAGAATTTGGAATGGCAAGATTTTTCCACAATTCACCAGCACCTCTATTTCCTTTGAAAAGAAATCTGCGGCTACTATCTAGCGCCCCACAATCTACAAAAAAAGTACAATCGAAAGATTCTTTCTGGAATCTACTGGGGGGCAAAACGCGCTGCCTTACACCTTTGCGAAGAGACGTCCCAGAAAGTTTCAACAATATTGGAATAGAAATATCGAGGACATTCTGTCTGTCAAAGATTCACCTTGATGAGCTGAGCACAATGCTTTTTTCGGATTCGAAAAATATTCACTACAAAGAAAGTTACGGTGAGAAAAATTTGGAAACGCGTGGTTTTTCCAAAATTCACCAACTCTTCTGTCTCTTTTAGAATGAAATCTGCGGTTACTTTTTAGCGCACTCTAATCTATAAGAACAGCTTTATCGAATGGTACTTACTGAAATCTTTTATGTTGGATAGGCGCTGGCTTACATCCTTGCGAAAGGACCACCGCAGAAGAATTTGAGAAAACTGGGAACGAGATATAGAGGACATGATGTGTGCCAAAGGTTCGCCTTGACAAGCTGAGCACAAGCAGCTCTCGGAATCAATATATATTCATTCCGAAGAAAGTTATGGCGCTGCGTAATTTGCGATAATCCGGAAATTTTGCGAAATTTCCGGATTATCGTTCCGTGGGTGGCATTGTACATTGCACAATACGCGCGGCATTCCGATATGTGCTTGGACTGGCTGGAAATCGCATATGTGCTTCATATGCGATTTCCAGCCATTCCTTTTGTCCTCCTTCATTTTAAGGCCTGTCATACTTCGCCGAGAAAAGCCCAATTTTACACACATATCCGTGCATAATGAGCTCTTAAACTATACCTACCGTATTTCCGCAGTGCTCAACAAAATGTGGCTTCCGGAATCAGCACACTGAATAATCCTTAAACTAAAATTCTAAGAAAAAACCTATATCCCACGACTTGGCACACCTATATACTGGAAGATGCACCTCGCCGATCTGAGTTGAATGGTTCTCCTGAGTATAGAATTCATAAACTTCGAATCAAGATAAAGTCTTTCGACGACTTCTAAAAGAGATAGGCGGCGGCCGCCGAAGTTAGGCGCCCGCCGCCTAACTTTGTCGCCTAACGCGGTGCTTGCCGCCTAACTGCGGCGGCCGCCGCCTAGGTTGAGCCGCCGCCAATTTTTTTCACAGATTAAGAGCGGTATTGTAGATGAGGTGAGCGAAGCCCTAGGAGTTCCAGATTTTGGGGTTCAGATAGCAGAACAGCCGATAGGCTTTTTGATACTCTAGTCGAACCCACGATTTCATGATTCAGAGAGGCAGTCACTTACCAATACGCCAACACTACACATGAGTGAACGCCTTACTGAAATGATGAACTCATAACTTACTAACCAATAATGCGTTGCAGAAATGGGATGCAGTTCAGGACTTACCATCCTCTTGAAGGCAGTGTATGACCAGATTTAGGGTATGCCGGATTTTTACGGTTTTCATAACGGGACTCCCTTCTATGCCAGTGCCCTTGTCCCATTCAATAAGGATTCTTCCACGACGAGAAAATTGAGCTCAAAGCGGCGACGTAGAGTTTATTGACCTGGGCTGGACCACTTGTCGGCCTGCATTTGTACACGTCTTTCCAGGCGACGCCCCTTCTTGGCAGTTCAGTCTTACAAAGTTGAGCAGGGAATGTTCAGAACTTAACCCAGCAATCCAAACCTGCTATATCATCGGACTCGCTTGAAACGCTGATCAAACATATGTTTAACATCTGCCAAGCGATTTTTGGAAGGTTTATGAGGGTTTAAATGTGCGGCAAGTATTCTGTGACGCATGTTCTAAATAATGGGTTTCAAAACACTTTTTTTAGGTTTTCGGTGAATGTGCTTCTTTCTTGTAATTGAAATAACCATAGCCACTGTATGTCCTCGTCATTAAGTTGTCTTTCAAGGATATTCGTCTTCACTCGAAAAAATTCTCATATTTGAACGCTCACAACTCCTCCCAGATAGTCGCTTAGCAGATAAAAAACATATATTTGAATCAGCGTTCTAAGACGAGTCCGATTATGTACAGTGTCTGGAATGGCTGGGTTAAATTCTGATTGCCTCGTATGGTAGAGCGGGACAGCTCCTCCGTTTACTTCTATGGGGCTTCGAAAAGCAGAGTTGCTGGGGTTTTTAGGCGGATCTGAGGATTTTCAGGATTCAAGGTCGGGAAGACTTGTAGTTCGCAGAATTCCCAAAAGCGTAATTCGATGGGGCACTGACTTTAAGTTGGTATGCATCTCGGATGGCAATTCGTTCTTGGTTCTTCCCCCTGTAAGCAAATCAAGCATTTTTCGTTCTTGGTTCTTCCCCCTGTAAGCAAATCAAGCATTTATTGCCTACCGCGGGTGGGCATTCAACGCTTAAATGTGAGGTCACTTCAGTTTTAGAATGACACAGAGTGATAACAAGCATATGCTTGCTACAAATGCTTACAAGGGAATGGTCAGAAGTCGAAGTGGCCAAACAAACAGGCTGAATTCCATTCGATGCAGTATGAAACACTGACTTTGAATCTGTCTTCCTTATCTGCTTATCTCTTCTATGGATGAAGCTACAAGCAGTTTTATTGTGGAAAAATCGTATATAAAAACTGTGAAATTGAGCACACTGTTGCAACTTCAGCTCAGCTTTAGGCTTTGAGAGTTTGAAGTAAGTTAGCCGCGTGTTTTGGCCCAGCATGAAGCCGAATGTGGCTATGTACAGCCAAATTTTCACTTCCACGCATAATTTCCGAGCAAAATATTGGTTTTTAATGGCTTATAGCTTCGTCTAAAAAAGCGATAAGCAGATAAAGAAGATAGATTAGAGTCAGCGCTTTATGCTGCATCTAACGGTATGTGCAGCTTGTCTGGATTAGTCACTTCGATATCTGACCATTCCTTGCTGCCATTTTTTTATGTACATCGAAATACTACGTCAAAGGCTATCAAATGGAGAAAGAAGAAAAGTTTTTTACTGTACAAAACATAGTTTGAACTATAAGAATCATCGAATACTTGTGAGAAGTCAGACGTTCTATGGCGTTATATGAACTTGAAAAGAGAAAGCACATCAACACTTTTTGTTTACAGCATGCGCTTCATGCTGGATTTGGCGTTACTTTGCGGTGTTTTTCTTTTCGGGCAACTGGTTGAGACTGCAAAAAATAATCAGGTCAGTTTAGCACAAAGCGCTTTATTATTTGTCTTAAAAATAACGGGGACACTGGTAAATCTGTACATGATCTTGAAATCTTCCTGCATCAGAATCGTCTTACTCGTGTTACCGGTGTTACCAGTGTTACCCGTATTACTCGTGTTACCCACCAGTCAGTGATATTGCGTTTCAAAATGAGTTGCGCCAGATACTAAAATTGGATTGACTGATGTTAAGTAATTTAGATTAATTTAGATTTGAACTGATCAATAGGTTCGCAAATTTATTCGATAAATTCCAATGCGGCACATTTTTATCGTATGCATCTGGCTTGTTTCGAATATATGTGTCACTATTACTAGACCTTTTTGTATCGAATTTGTTGGTTTTTATCTGTCGCAAAACAAAATGTATCTGTCAGCTTGGTGGAAATTGCAATTTCCGTGAGTTCCGCTTTTTATTGCTTATTTGAATAACAACTATTACAATAGATGTAAAGTGTTATGTTTTCGAGAATAAAGGGAATGGAAGTAGGAATTACCCACGCATTTGGGAACTTCTCGAAATTAATTAGTGCTCTGCCTAAGGCTTTGGCCACACTTTACCCGTGTTATGTTACCCGTGTTACCAGTGTTACTAGTGTTACTCGTGTTACCCGTATCACCAGTGTAACCCGTGTTACTCGTGTTACTCGTGTTACCGGAGTTACTCGTGTTATTCATCAGTCAGTCATATTGCGTTTCAAAATGAGAATGTATTGTGATCATTTCACTATCCAATAGCAATAAAACGGTAAGTAACACTAGTAACACGGGTAACACGAGTACCACTGGTAACATCGGCAACACGGATAACGCGGATAAAGTATGGCCAAAGCCTAAGCTACAAGTGAAAATGAAGCCGTTATAAAGTTGAACAAATTCGTACGTCAAAATTCGGGTGAACTGTTGCGAGAATTATGTTCAACAGGTTTGAGTAAAAATGCATATCTAGGACAAACCGAGATTTAATCGTGAAATTCGAACAAGCTGCTCTTTGCAACAATGCTTGAGACATTTGTCATGATAATTATCACAATTTTGAATTCTCCAAAAATCTTGCTTAAAGGGGTAATCTAACCTGGTGAACACCGGGAAGCACTTCTATCATTGAAGGCAGCATCCACCCAAGATTTCGCCATTAATGTTTTTATTACTCTGCCTTTCCGTGGCCCTCATTACAATTATGAAGTTCAAATGTGCACATACTACTCACAAGCCAAGTGGAACCCCATCAGAAGACACGGCTTTCGTTACCCGGGTGGGTAGAGCTTGATAGGATTCAGAGGTGGTTTCAGCTCCATTATCTCCCTTCCGAACCAACGCAGATGTCCCCCTTCTAGGGCCTGCATTTAGAACGTTAATTAATTGGAGGCGGTATTGCCTGGATGCTACATACCTTCAAGATAACGCCTTTGCTTGGTCAAAACCAGCGCAGTGGATGATTTTGTGCTGAACCCCCGTATAATCGTCGTTTGCCCCCCCCCTTGCGGTTGTTCTATCCAATTCTCGCAAACTATGTCAGAAAGTGGCAGAATAGTGAGAGCATATTCAGCACATAAAATATATGCTATAGATTATAGCAAACACAGTGGCACACTCTGCTCCGTTCGGCCATGTCCATACACTATAATAAAAATCACCATTCCTATCTATAGTACGACATTACCTGTTCCACTTCTACATGTCACTTTCCTGGTCCCACTATATTTTCATAATCGGCATGCTCACACATCCTTTTGTCCCAATACCAACTCTCAGCCCTTCGGGCCAAAATTGCAAAGAAATCGACCATATCGAAGAATGCAGTGAGTACTTCTCCCGATCAATGTTTTTAGAGTGTCCATAAGTCTTTTCATATCGGCGAAAATCAGCTAACCTCGATTTTTTGAGTTAGAATTTGAGCAACTATTTGATGAAGCAACGCAAGCTCTACAAGCACCTCAACACATTTCAACTTGCCTTGCGTCATGGTTGAGAGGACTTGATTTTTTGGGAGAAGGAGATTTACTAGATATGGATTACATTGAAATTAGTGTCTCAGTAGAGGACGACACGAAATCTTATATATAAAGCTGAATGTCTGTTTGTATGTCTGTCTGTCTGTATGTATGTATGTATGTACGTATGTTCCGAATAGAAAATTCCATTTCTGAACCGATCCGGACCAAACTTGGCACACATACACTACGGGCCCCGGCGGGTGTCATAGGCTACTTTTCGTCATCGATCGATATCGATTTTATCGATTTTATCGATTTTTTTGCAAAGTTTGAGCTACGGGGCTGGGAGTTGGCACAGGGGGGTAATCGAGCATGGGGATTCCGAATACAATATTGGTTTTCAGGATTATCGATTACTTTTATCGATTTTATCATCCCCAAGGGGGTGATCAGCATGCTCGATTACCCCCCTGTGCCAACTCCCAGCCCCCTAGCTCAAACTTTGCAAAATCGATAAAATCGATAGAAGTAATGGATAATTCCAAAAACTAATATTGTATTCGTAATCTGCATGCTCGATTACCCCCCTGTGCAAACTCCCAGCCCCGCAGGTCAAACTTTACAAAAAAATTGATAAAATCGATAAAAGTAATGGACGATCCTGAAAACTAATATTGTGTTCGTAATCAGCATGCTCGATTACCCCCCTGTGCAAAATCCCAGCCTCGCATGTCAAAATTTACAAAAAATCGATAAAATCAATAAAAGTAACCGATAATTCTGAAAACTAATATTGTATTCGGAATCCCCATGCTCACTTCCCCCCTGTGCCAACTCCTAGCCCTGTAGGTGAACTCTGCGAAAAAATCGATAAAAATCGGTAAGATCGACATCGATCGATAACGAAAAGTGGACTGTGACACGCGCCGGGGCCCGAAGTGTATGTGTGCCAAGTTTGGTCCGGATACGGCGGAGCCGGGTAAGCCAGCTAGTAATCTATAAGATTAGCTGTACTATATGCTTTTCTATATACGAGTATTGAGTGAACAACAGATAATTGCTTATTCAACCGTGTCTACGTCTTGCGGCTCATCTTATATATAACCAGCTGGCTTACCCGGCTCCGCCGTATGCTCCGAATAGAAAATTCCATTTCTTAACCGATCCGGACCAAACTTGGCACACATACACTTCGGGCCCCGGCGGGTGTCACAGTCCACTTTTCGTTATCGATCGATGACGAAAAGTAGCCTATGACACCCGCCGGGGCCCGAAGTGTATGTGTGCCAAGTTTGGTCCCGATCGGCTCAAAAATGGAATTTTCTATTCGGAACATACGTACACACATACAGACAGACAGACAGACATACAGACAGACATACAGACAGACAAACAGACATTCAGCTTTATATATAAGATGTTGAGTGTGTGTTCATATGTATCTATGTATGTCTGATGTCTTTATGTGTTTATGTATAGGCTGCTGCATGACGGAGGCGCAATTTTGGGCGCAAACGCGGCTTTATTAGCCGCGGAGCGCGAGAGGGGCAGGATTCACAACGGTGAGAATACGCGCGCGTCGCGTCCGCGTCTGCTTAACTATACTACTTATGCTCCTTCATCATGCAGTAGCCTTTATGTTCAGAATACTTTTACTTTTGTACCAATTCGAACCAAACTTTGCACACATACATTTTGGTGCGGGGCGGGTGGCGAAAGCTACTTTTCGTTATCACAGTAACGGATTTTATCGACATTTGCTCTGACTCACGGTGCTGGGGCATCACATAGGAGAGGGAGGGGGGTAAGTGAGCATGGCGTTAGCAAAAGTATTAGGTTGTCCCATAATTCTTTATAAATTTGATTTTTTACTGCCATAAGCCGTTTCTCCGTAATTTTGTCATGTAACCGGTGTACTTTTCGACAGAGCAAAGCAATCTCTACAAGATGACGTTGAAACAGTCACACCAAGTGTGGATCCATCCACAGTTTAAATCCGAATTCTAAAAAGATCCAAATACTCAAAAAATTGAAAAAAGTTGAATCCTCATCCAAAAAGTCCTGCGAACTTTCAACTTGTTCTAGCATATAAATGCCACATCAGACATTCATACATACAATTGTGTAATTATTCCATTGTTACAAATCGAGAAAATAAAAGTTATGCTTCCATAAAAGCCATGCTGGGCTCTTTCTACATAGGTGGATCTGTAGTGTGAACCATTATGAGTACCATTATGAATTTTCAGCCTTCCATATGCATTACTTCTCGAGAAACAACGAATTCAGCATAAAAAAACGAAGAAAAAGCGACTGGGTTTCTGAGTTGGTTTTTTGGGTTAATTTTGGGTTTTTCGTTATTTTAGAATATTTTTGTTTTTCCATTTATAGTCATGGTAACATTTAGCAAATGTAGACATAAATGTCTAGTGTGGGATTAAATGCCTGAGCAAGTCAGAAGTCAGAAGCTTTTTTTCCTGATTGAGATCGGATTTTTTGGGCATTTCAAATTTTTGAATTGCGGCTTCAAACTTCATGTGAATCAAATCTTTTGCGTTTATTCGAAAGTACAATGGCGGAACGCAACCAAGACATTATCAGACGTATATTGAGATAATCTCAACATACCATATGTGTGCGTTAAAGCCAATACTCATACAAAGGCGAAATTGGTTTTTTGAAAAGGCACTGTTTCATATGGGGCGTACTAGTTTTCACGGTTTCGTTACGGTAACCCCTTTTTGGACCACAGCCGAAGTCTTATTCGATAAGACTTTTTCTGAGAAAGACTACAATCAAAGTGGCGCGTGGAGAGCGATTCGGCTTCTGGATGACTTGTTGATTTTCATTTGATTTTGTAATACAGGCAACGTACAGCGCGTCTGAACCCTGCGAAGAAGGCTAAGGTAAAGGTGCCAACTTATCCGCAATGTTTTTACGCAGCTTTTGAGCGAAGAAATTTCAGGATTTCTATGAAAAATTAAATCCCTTTACGCTTATACAGGGTCGCAGAATTGTAGTTTGCAGTTCCCACGACCTAGAACTGTAGAACACTGCTTTCAACAGAATTATTAAGGCTGTGACTGTCTCCAAGAATGGAAAGCACTCAATGGATAAAGCGAAAGAGAGCAAAAACATTACGACCGCAAGTGGAGGTTATTTTACTGCAAACCATTTTTGAATTTTCATGCCTGTAAATGTTCAATACAGAAAACGATATATGGTACGAGATAAAAGCGATGAGAATGGATAAGACGGAAGCGGCCCTTCCAGGTTACTTCTACAAGAGTTCTTACAAAACTAGTGACCGAAGAAGAGGAAGAAGAAGACGACCTCAAAACAGAAGACGCCATCCTAAGAAAAGAAGATGTTGGAATTCAGAGTTCTGTTCATCTTTAAGTCTTTCATTTTAGTCAGGTACAAGCCGCATGTTGCTGCGACTGAAAAACCAAAACAGCTCAAGTTCACCACCAAACAGGATGCCGCAATGAGAGAGAACCTCAGCAGCTCAACTTTACAACAAAGCTAGTTTTTACGATGACCGAGAAACCAAACAGCTCAATGCCAAAGAAACCAATGCAGCCTAACACCACTGCAATTTGACGTATACAAATTATTAAGGTTGCTAATGAATTTACTCTCAAAGTTCTCCCATTTATACGCACGGAGTATCGAAGATGGTGACTTCATTGTTCAGATGCTAAAATATTTTCTTCTGTGATCTGGTGCCTTTCGCTATCAGGTACCATTTCAAAGAATTAGTTTCAACTTATAATAGGTTGGACTGGAAGTTCTGCCACTTCATTCTGGAACTTCATAGAATCGCTTCGATGAGCAAATCTACGAAACGTTATGTTTTTGAGGTAACTGTACAAAACAGCCAATTGATTTAATGGCATTTTTTCTCAAAAATCATATCATAGTGGTAGAAACTTTGACTGATCTTGTACCAACTCATTTCTGCACCACTGCTTAATCAAGTACCGCGAAGATGTCATTGCAGCAGCATTTTAGTATCAAGGAAATTCGTCATGGTCAAGAGAATTTTTTTTGAAAAGAAAGCAAAAGAATTCTTGGTCAATCTGATCTTTTTGCTATAGGGTGCCACGAAAGTATGTACACACTTTTGATCATTGATCCCCTCGTCCCCAAAGTCTTCTGCCTAAGGAACAAAACCCAAAATATGAAAACTTTCAAACTAGGGTAATCGGAAGAGCTGATTTTTAATGTGAAGTCTTACTGTAGGACTAAGGTAGAGAATTCAAGAGAGTTTCGAGACGTTGAGGGGGGGGGAGGGTGGTATCTTGCCTCAGAAACAAAACCCAACAATACGAAGACTTCCAAACTCGGGTAATCGGAAGCGCGGATTTTTGTGAAGTTCGCACTTTATCGCACCACTCCTTTCATAAGTTACGCTAGGTATACTGAGAACAGATTTTTTTTAAGTGCTGTTTTCTCAGTGGAACTATTATCACGCGCTTGAAAACTTTTATGACTCGTTGAACGTAGTTTTTTCAATCTTTTTCTTAGACGGTCTTGCTACAATGCAGGGTGGGAAGTTCCTACCGCACTTACAAAGTATCGATGAGAGATAGCCGAGTTGCTTTGTAATGCGAATATAGGTTCAGGTTAGCTTCACAGGTTGGTACTAGAAGCCTGGCAAAAAATCAAACGAGTACTTCTGGTAGACGTTTCGAATGTTTCTACCAATTTTTGCAATCATTTTCGTAATCAGCTTGTTCTTTTACCTAGATGGATTGCAAAAAAAAATTTCGGTAAAATCGATATCGATCGATAACAAAAAGTAGCCTACGACACCTGTGTGTGCCAAATTTTGTCCAGATAGGTTCAGAAATGAAAATTTCTATTTGGAACATACGTACAGACAGACGGAAACACAAAAGCACAGGCATTTAGCTCTACTTATACAGATGTGCCTTTGCTCTCATGGTGATGGCTTTACAACCCACCATGCAATGCTGACCATCACGAATGAATTGTAAACAACTATTCATTATGTACTAAATTTCATGTAAGATCAGTAACCTCTGAGTATGAAAAAATTTTCTACAGAGGACAATTTTCGAATCAGTTACTGAATCTATTATGGCATTATAGACGCCATCAGGACAATAACCCATCATGAGCTACATCCCTAATCAGGAATCTTCCAAAATTGTCAATCAAAGCCCTGACAAATCGACCCTCTAACAAAGAAAAACACTACGTTGAGGTGAGATACACGTGATGCATACCATACTGCTGGTCCTAAATCGCTATTACCAAGTGGTGTTCCGGCTGCTTGAAGGCAGTGTCCGGGCAGAAATTCAATTTTGAATTTTTGTGCTTACCCGGATCTATTCGCCATGCTGAATCCGAAAATCCACACTGGGAGCGCGAAAACGGCAAAAAAGGGCTCTAATGCAGGCTGAAATTAGCAAGTGGGCGGGGTTTTCCCCACCGTGGATTCACCCTCCCAGCTTCCGGAGCGATCTTCTGGATTCCGCTAGCTAACTTGACATCGGCAAGGGTCAAATACGAACGATTGAATTGCAACCGGAACCGAGAAGATCGCTCAGGAAGCTGGGAGGTGCATTCACAGTGGGGAAGACCCCGCCCACTTGCTGGTTAACCTCCTGCGTTAGAGCCCTTTTTTTCGCCGTTTTCGCGCTCTCCACCGCGGATTTTCAGATTCAGCATAGCGAAAGGTTCGCGTAAGCACAAAATCTCAAACTCGAGTTTCTGCCCAGACCACTGTCTTTAATGATCTCCTAGGAAAAGTTATGAGTGGTGATCTCCATGACCACGACTCACTGTAAATTAGCGGCGTCAAGCAGCAGATGTGGACGGATGGCCGAGGGAATAGCTGCTGAGACTACGCAGCAGATCAAGAGTTCGAATCCTCTATGCCAACAACAGCACTTTTAAAGGCTGTTATGTATCTTTAGAGGATCATAAAGCAAGAAAACGTCACAATCTTTATTAGCCGAAACAACCATGGACAACAGACTATGGTGTTTGGTGTTTTTGATTTACAGAATTGCAACATTCACGAGCATGTGTGGTAGTTAATAACATGATGCTTAGACCACAACTCAACCAATATGTTAGGTTGGCCCGAAAATTCTTGCGCATCATTTTCAAAAAATCATAACTTCTTTGTATCTCGACAGATTTTTTTAAAAGTAATTCTCTAAGAGGGCAAGCCAGCATCAAGCTCTTTACAGCAGTAAGCTTTTGTGTAGTAGAATGAAAAATTTGAGAGATAGAAGCAATTGAACGAAATTATCAAGATTAGCATTTATCAAGCAGATCACGAAAAATCAGAAAGTATAGACTGTACCAACCAGCATCGATTATGCGACGTGGCGCCTGCGGCAGGCGATGCGGCTGACGCGTGCGAACTCTGTCACGCGCGAGATCACGTCGCATGCGACCGTGCGTTCTCGCAAGGCATACCAGCACGGAATCGATGCTGGTTGGTACAGCCTATATTTTTGCTGGAAAGAGAAAGTATTGCACATTACAGTGACACCTTTTCCATGGATTAGTATAAGATAGTTCGAAAGTTGAAGCAAACTTCAATTTTACAATTTTTAAGCATGTTCAAAATAGCTTTAGAAGTCATAGTAGATGTCTAAATAGTCATAAATGGGTTTCATACCTCCTATATCTAGCTAAGTGGGACCAGCGCTAATTGAGAGCAGATTTGATTTTCGTGAAAATGCAGGCACGAAAATCCGAAAGATACAATCTATTGACAACCTGCTACAAAGTCTTCGCAGTATCCATTCAGCAATGCATCCACACCTGCACATTTCTTGGTTTTACGAACTTACACGAAAAGGGAACGATACTCGGTGTCTCCGTGGCCTTTTGAGATGAGATGTATACCCATACATCCAATCTCACTTCCGTTCCTGTTAATCGCTTTAAAGATGTTGGATGGAATCGATCGGAGTTTGGCTTCCCAGTGAGATACGGTCGGGGCGTCAACACTAACCTAGACCAGAAAGTGGCCGCGATAGAGGCCGTTTCGCTGACCATATTTCCCTTGAGCGGCCAAACTTGGCTCCGAATTCCTCCCTAACTACTTTCAGAGTAGCGATTGGCAGAAACGGAAGTAAGATTCGGAATCAGCGTTCGAAGACGAGTGTAATGGTATACATCTCGACACAAAAGGTCACGGACATTGAGTATCGTTCCCTTGTGAGCAGTGGTCCACTTTGGGGAAACTATCGCTCATAGCTTTTCCCAGAGATCATTGAGCAGCAAAGGATCACAGGTTTGCTGTTACTGCCTTAGAGCAGCCGAATGATACAATTCCGCTCACATTTTTTTGAAAAAAAGACGCGAATGTCGCATCATGTATGGACATCACCGTCGCGTGACGCCATATTTCGCTTCAGATTGCCGAATTCTCAACTAAAGCCAACATTCGACTCAGCTCGGCACGGCGCATCTTCTGATATATAGAATTGTCCACTTGGACACAGTAGGATGTCAGATTCCACGAATCGTTTCAATTTTTGCTTACGGTAAGTTACTCAGTGTGCTTATTCATTGCACTTAACCTAAAAAGCAATCAGGAATAATTCTGGAATGTGACCTCCTCCTGTGTCCAAGTGGACACTTCTATATATCAGAAGATGCACCACCCGAGCTGAGTCGAATGTTGGCTTTAGATGAGAATTCGGCCAATTTGAAGCGAGATATGGCCACGCGACAGTGATGTCCATACATGATGCGACATTCGTGTCTCTTTTTTTTCAACAAATGTGACTGGTATTGTATGTGGAACTTACTTACTTCGACGTGAGGTCCTTCCTAGTAAGCAATTACCTCATTTAGAGCCGATTTCGCTTGCAGTAACTTGCTCACTTTTTAGGCCATCCAAGGATTGCACATTTACCTGTCTGATACCCTGCAAAATGCGCCGGCAAGTGGTTATTAGAAAGGCAGGGTGACTTTTTTAAAGTACAGAATATAAGGTGATTAACATCACACTGGGATGGAACATGATGTTTTTCTACTCTATTCACTCGCTTTTGGGTCTTTTAGGCTATATCGTAAAAAAGACAATGAGATGGCAGAACATGGTCAGACCCTTACCCAAATACTGTTATTTCCAACATTTTGTTTCCTTACACATTAAGTATTATATGTCTGTCATAGATTGCGTCTGTTATGCCGATTACGGTATAACAGATCCAGTCGAATACGATCAGCGCCCTGACCCTACTTTTTTACTTCTCTGTATACTTGGCAACTTGAGAATTTGCAAATGAGAGTTGGTAAATCCTTCTGTATCGGAGAACGATCAAGAGGGGCAGCGCGAGTTTTTTGCGAAGCGACACCGGAGCGCACCTCTGATACAAAAGCAGCAATCTTGGTGCAATTTTACTTATGGCATCAAGTCTCACACCCCTATTTCTGCCGCTGAAAATCTCTAGTAGCAAGGAGCTTTGTGGGTTCCAAGATCGACTGAAATGATACCCCCAGAAAAAGCAGCAGGAACACTTATAAGCGTAAAACCAACACGTATTACGCACATTAAACGAGCTGTAGACAACCAGCAGTAGGGATAAAATTCTACTTTATCTTTCGTTCGTTTTGAACAAAATCAATTCCTCCTTCCAGCAGTCTATGTTTCGGCACAGCTACAGAATGAAGTGATCCTAGTAAGCGTTCCGAATACAGCATTGAAAGGTAGCTCGTTGGAAACGGACGAGATGTATGCCAGAAAATTGCGTAGTGTGTCCACATGAAAGGGTGGAAGATTGCTCGAGAGTTGTACCAAATAGAATGCTTCAGCTGCAACGCGCTGTATATTAGTAAAACAGGACGAGTATTGAGCATTCGCATGAGCATTTGGCAAGCAAGGGACGACAAGTCTGGTAGCATCGTCTGTAAGCACAGGAACGAGTTTCATGGTGGTAATGACTTTTGAGTCAAATGTACGATACTAACTTTTAAAACGGCAATCACAGCCAGGAGGCTCTCGAGGCCTTTCGGATTTCTACCAAAATTCAGAAATGAACAATAGGAACGAGTGCCTGCCGATAACTACTGAATTCGTGCCCATCTCTGCGAGTTATAGAGTCTATTAACATTCCCTGGACACTCTACTGTGTGCTCACTTGTGTGCTACGGTCACGTACTTCCGGTGGACTTCACACACAACTGTGAGGCAAGGATAGGCTCATCTCCATGTTGCCGATTTTTGCGAAATAGACTCGCAAGGGAGCCTTGCTTAGCCAAAGTAATCCGTTTAGATGGGATGTATAACATATTGAAGAGCATAAAATGCTGATTCCAGATCTTTTTTTCTTATCTGCGAAACGTTCATGGACGAGAATTTATGAGATTGAAGTAAAAGAGAATAAGTGCATCTAGGAAAAAATGAGTTGCTTACCCTTTCTAATCCTTTAATTAAGCAAGCAAGTGTGGAATATTTTGGAAGAATTCATTGAATGAGTTGCTTCAATAATTATCACTGCTTCACTAAGGTGCTAGAAAAATTATTACGACAATTTTTTTCCTATTCGCACATGTAAATTTTGCTCTAATGAAAGCTCATAACTCTTCGTCCATAGAACGTTCGCAGATAAGGGAGACAGATTTGGAATCCGTGTTTTATGCTCTCCAGTACTGTATACATCCCATTTAAAAAGGCCACTTCGCTAAACATGGTTCCCCTGTCAGAAGGACGTCAAACTAGCAAGATTAGAGGGCGCATTTGTTGACGCAGGTTTTACTACGAATTATTTCTAGGCCTCTGAGAACGAAGCCTGAAACGTTCAGCCTAACCAAATATACTTGGCACTATTACAAACCTGGCCAGCAAAATAAAGTTGATCATAAATCTCAGCACAGTACGGGCCGTAGCTACAAAGTCACCCTAAGAAACCACGGTAATTTGCTCTGTCTTCGATGAAATTGTCCGAAAACCACTATTTTGTATGCAAGACCAACGCTAAACCACTTCCAGGCAGGCCCAGATTCCATGGATTTTGGCCCGAGAAAAATTAAAAATCAAAGAAAGAGACCTCTTTAGAAAGCTGGTCACAGCTGTAGAGCCACCTCCTATCTTGAAACAAGAACACTCTTTGAGCCAGAATTTCTCTGTAAAGTTATATCATCAAAATATGAAACGTGTGTTACACCCAGGTGCTTGAAAATGCATAAAGGTGGTTTTGAAAAACTGCTAGTTTCTGAGTTTCTAAGCACTTATCCAGCTCGGATGAAGGTGCTAAGATTCACTGAGCCTTTGCAATGAATGCGGTGGAAGGCGCTTGGGTCCACTTAGCCTAGTTCCTGATACGATGAGCGAGCCTGAACCTTACCTTCAGGAGGTTTCGAAAACATCAGTGGCCGTATTCATCATCGAACCTAGTGGGTTCCTGAACCCACTGGGTAGCCTTAACCCATGAGGTCGGTATTCACGAAACTAGTGGGTTTGCGAACCCAGCAGTACTTTTTGTGAATATTGATTCAATCCAGTGGCACCGCTTTCGTTTACCCACTGGGTAGCGGAACCCACTGGGATCGTTGATTGAAGGCCACAGAATTCTATGTGTGCGCCCGAACAGCTCTGTCATGTGCTTAGTACGTCGTCCTACAACGATAAACTCGGGCATTGACGAAACATCATGGTAACTACTAAAATTTCATTTTACCTTGAGCGTAGTTACCTCACAAAAAGGTAACGCACTCTACGTGATCATGACCTAATCTAACATCGGTCGAACGGAAAACCGCTCGGAAATTGGAAATTCTAAAATTCTTGTTTCGTAAGGTTCGACTTGATGTGAAAAAGAATAAAATTTGGAGTCATGTTAGATCTACTGCGCACAACTGAACTGCAGAAGAAAAGCATCAACAATATTTTACTTTGACTCTGACGAATAAACACGCGACATCAAAGAATTATGTTGAGTTCGGCGTCGAGATCATCACCAAACCCGCCAGTTCGCGTGATACATCGGAAGAATTGGAGGAAGTGCGTAGTAAGAGATCTAGAAGGCTAGTGCAATCACAAACAACGATGCGTCCATCATCAAACACCCGGCTCATTCACTTCCGTCCAAACCTGAAATATTTGAGAATCAAAACAATGCTGAAAAAGCAAGAAAGTAAGATTCATTCAAGGTCACTGTCGTCCAAGCACATCCGGATAACTGTCCGTCTTATGTGTGAACTAATTAGGATTGAATCATGCCTGATCGGTAACTCTATGGGGCCAAGAACTCAACACTAACTCTTCCCTCTCTCCTTCATCGCACTCTTTTTGAGCAGTCCATTCAGCGCCAGCAACTACGTTAGTGGGCAACGATTGATTTTCATGTTCGCGAATGATTACTGCTCTTAACGCTTTAGCTCAGTCTAGTGCTCTCGATTAATATTTTAGATCTTGGTTGGGTGCAAAAATGATGTATGTAGCTTGCAGATTCATAATGCTTCAATTAAAATTTTTCGCGAAAACCAAAGCACTTGGGCTGTAAATTTACAGTCAGAGCTAGTATACCGTACCTAAGTTGGAGAGATTTTGTATCGCTAGGAGCTAAGTTTGCCATAGTTCGTTTATCTTTTTTTCTAAGATTCTAAGCGAGTAAATTACAGCAAGTATATGAAGTGTTATTATATGTTTGCTACGTGGTGACCAACTGGGAAGCTCGCAGGAATTCTTCGGGCAAGGATCCGATTCTGGCTAGTTAAATGCTTACAGATCTCGGCTTTGAGTTTTTCGTGATTCAAGATTTATGTAGATTTTTGATAACAATTCTGTAGAGCTTACATTCTTAGTCGCATCTACGGACATTATTTTTGCACCAACCTAGTTTTCTGGCTTGAAAAACATTTTTTGTGTTCAGCTTCCAAAACATTTGGTGCATTTTTTAAACTTGCAATGTAACTGGTTGTATTGCAAATCAATTGATTTATAACTAACACTAAAGTATCTAAGCAGATCTCTTGATGAGATCTGGATTATTCTAAGGTAAGGTCTGAATTGATGCGATGCTTTTGTCGAGAAAATCACATTATCGAGTTAGGCGGCCAATAAGTATGTGCTTTTCCCAAGTCGACTGTGTTATCACAGTTTGTACTACTGAATTGAAGTGAAAGATTCTCTTTTTTCAACAGTTCTTTCTATCTTCTTTTACTGCTCTAGTTAGATCAAATCATGCTGTTTCACATTCTAAAACATTTTCTAAAAAGAATGAGATTGTCAGCTTCATTTTATTTGTAGATGAGGGACTGTGGACTTATACTTGATCTACAGGAGCGTAACGCCATAAACGCCATAAAATTTGCTCTCATTAGCTCCAAATTGATAAATGTTTAATTGAGGTACTCTTATAAGCTTGAGAAAAGGACGCCACGGTTGTAAGCGGATCCAATTCGGGATATGCCCAGATTTGTGGAATTTCCTGCAATGGGTCGATCCAACGAAAATGCCCAAAATGAGACTTGCTAAACTGTCTCAAATTTAATTCCACGTCTAGTCGTTCACCCTAGACGATAAGTAGCGAACCGATGGAATGCGAATTTTCGCCTCAAAATACTTTGGAGTAGACGATTAACTACTGATTCTTGCTAGACGCATAATTTACCAACAGGAGTTTGAAAATACCTTACCCCATCATTGCATTACCGGAGACCTTGTACATTTTCACATCACAAATCCGAATTTTCATAGATTATTCAAGCAGGCACACATAGGTAGTTCTCCTTTTTCCTTTGTGGCTGGCATTATAGCAAAAAAATGGGCGGCAAAATATTTGAGTTGTCAATCTATTATAAATATAATAGTGTTGGAGATTGATGATAAAATAGTATTTATCCTTTTCATACGGCTATAATTTTTTTCATCCTAAAAGTAGAACTTGTTTGTATTTCTTCTCTCTTCTCTCCTCACCCTTCTATAAATAGACGGAAAGCTTAGTTCGCATTCCAGCTGACTTAATTTTTTATCCTATCAATTTGGGCGATTTATGCAGACACGTTCGATATCTAAAAATGCCTAGTCGTAAATAATTACCCATCAATTTCTTTTCTCCCCGTTCTACAAATTTTTGAGGTGTTATCTGGAAGGTTAAGTTGAAATATTTGCAAAGAACCTCAAGGAACATATAAAATGAAATAAAATGAACAGAATATAAAATGTGCGTGACCTTTCCCCTCCGCTTGATTTTCCCCTTTTAAGTTCTTAAAGGGGGATCAGCAATCCCAACTATGCCTGTCATAAATAATAATCTATAGTCAAGCAAGAGCAGGTGCTTCAAAAGCAATAAATTTACCAACTACAGTGGAAGCAAAGATCACCAAATATGGAAGACACTCACCTTAAACGTTCTGCTCCGTTCAGCGACTGAATCAATTTGTTAGTGAGAGGAGCTCGTTTGGCACTAAAGACGTATATAAAATTTGGAAAAGACTTAAAATTCTTAAAAAAGATAAACTCACTAGATGAACTGATCCTCGTAATCCGATGGCTGGAAGCTACTGAAAAAGGAGATTTGATTATTATTATTTTAACAAAAATTCGTCACACTGAAATCTCTGCTAACAACAAATGAAATCAGATTTCTACCATCTTTTATCCTTTTTGCTACACTACTCTATTTTGCACTGTATATATTTTCACATAAAGCTTGACTTGCGCTAGAAAATTCATCATGTTGTAATAACCAAACATTTTATGAAATGTTCGCGTTCCTCCAGCAAATAACTCTGCATCCAAAGCTGAGAAAATGCTGTGCGCTTGACTCAGACTTATTTGAACTGATCCGCTTTTTCGTTGGAAAGACTTAAAGTGAAAGTGCTATCTTGGAGTTTGGTACGGCTCTGTGATATTCGCATCTTGTTGCCAAGACTATAATGGCACTGTCTTCCCTACAAAGGAATCGGGTAAATTAAAAGCTCAAAATGAATAGGTCTTCTTTCCAGGCAATGTACTCAAGAAATAAGGAAGCAACTTGAAGGATCATCTCGCAATTTGTTGCGTCTAAAAACACACTATCAATATCTACCTATTGCACATGTCTGTGTGATAAAATATCGATACCTAGAAAATCGGGATTGTTTCCATGGGCGAGGTGGGGGGGGGGGGGGGGTAAAGTCCCTTCAAACATCCCAAGAAACTTTTGAACGGTGGTTTCTCACGGATAGAATGACGGAATGCAATTATTAATTTTCAGCTGGATTTAGACAGATAGAGCTTACAAAAAAAAACAAATCAAATTTATTACAATATAAATTGTTCTCTGAAGGAGCTATGCACTCTTTTTCGTGTATTCTGAATTGCACTTCGATTTTTCATCGCAATCAAAAATGAGTAATAATCATCAGATTCTAAATAGTTTAAGTGTCGGTTCGGCTTGTTGAACAAGCTCAAAACAACAAATGCCATATTTTATGTGCTCTGAGCTGTTCTCTGATGTTTCCGCCATGTGAGCATGCCATAAGGAAGTGGCCATTAACTCGCTCTTTGAACGGGGTGGATGAGTGTTTTGCTGTGGCGAACGTCAAGAACGCCCTTTTCCGATTTGCTCACAGCTACTTCCCTATCAGATCAAGAGAATCGCATGATGTCATCTATATCAATAAGCAGTGCATGATCTATGCTATATATGTAACACAACGTAAAAAAACCGTTTGTGTGTCAAAATAATCCCTTCGTCATGTTTTGCTTTTAGCGGAAAACTATGAAAATCGCGAAGGGAAAATAAGTGATTCAAGCTTTAAATGAATCAAAAGACTGTCCCGAAGTTATGAAAGCATCGTTTTTAGCTATGATAATAACGCATCGCAATGGTATTGTCATATATTGAATTATTGGCTTCATCTCGATGTAAACATCCGGATCTGCTGTCATCATTTGGTTTACAATGGGAAAGACAGGCTCTCACTCTCGAGTCAGACTTAACAGTCAAAGTTTCGCAGGAAGATTAGAGGAGTTAGAAAAATTGATCTGACAATGAGAAAACATTTTTTCTTGCCCTTCCCTTCCACTCAGGGCTCGGCACAGATGGCTTACCGGGCAGGCTGGATATCGTTTTAGGAGGTAAAAAGCAAAGGGAATATCGTTTTTGTGGAAGAGCATGCTGCTGTCTTTCGATCTGCTGCCGGAACGCTGCCGGCATGCCGGCAGCATAGTCTCCCAAACAAACAAAGGGCTTGTTTACAGCGAAGTGAAAATGAAATGAAGCCAAAATGGATGTGTAGATGGGCAATGGGGGGATAGTACCATGTGCAAAAAATTATGAAAAAGTTATGTGAATTAATGTCGCGGCAAACTTTTTTCGGAGTTAGGTGGCTTCACAGCCACCTGGACAGCCACCTGAGGTGGCTGTAAAGTGAAAAAGTCATAAATTTCCCTTCCTTCACATAATTTTTTCACAAGTTTAGCATATTTTTGTTCTATATCAAAAACCCTATAACTGAGTTTTTGAATCTCCCCAAGCCCCCTCCTCCTCGCCTAGTTACAGCCCTCTAAATATTTTGTATGGCTGCGGCAAGCCTGCTCCGATCGCGCAACGGTGCGCGCCGGACACAGCATGCCGCCAATTCGGTGAATACGAAGTTCTTTAGTTCCTTTTCGTTTTCTCATGCTGCTTTTAAGTTTTGTTTCATTATTTTTTGTTATTCGTGTGATCCATTCCTAATCGTGTCATAGGTGATGTCGTATTTGTGTAGCGAAATCTACGGGGACTTCGTTTCTGCAAAATTGAAAAGCCACCTCATGCCGGGCCCTGCTTCCACTCTCTCACACTACAAAAGTATTTGCCAACACATGTTTTCCTTGCAATGATTAGAATCATTGTTAGCAGAGATATTATGAAAAGAACAAGTGCTGTCCTACTGTGACAATCCGAAGATTTTAACCTCAACTTGGCGAAAAGAACTTCGTTGTTTTTTTTCACAGCAAGAGTACAGCGATCTAAAGGGCGAGTTTTTAAACTATTAGAGTGTCTCATAATTTTTTACCGTTTTTACCTCAAACATAAGCATTTCTCGAGAACTGGGACACTTACAAAGGGTAGTAATACATGATCGTACTTCTGTATGTATGAGCTATATGATTATGTGTGAGGAAAAAGCACAGGACTTCTAGGAGCGGAGTTTGCCATTTTACTGCATTCATTTTTTTTAGATTTCTAGCCAAGGAAAAAATACGTAAAGTGTTAAGTTGATTGTCGACTTGTCAAGCTTATGTTAGGATAAATGGGGAATTTTTAAGATTTTTTTGCGGCCGAGATACGATTTTTTACGGTTAAGTTCATTTCTGACTGCTATCATATTTCAGCTTAAAACTTTGCTTAGAATACGAATTGGGCAGACTACTGATAGCCAACTTGTAGAAAAATCACACTCTAAGATAACTATTACCTACAGTGGCAAACAAGTGTAAAAAATGAATTTCTAATTGGCCTCTTTCACTTGCATAATTTGAGACTGGCTGTTTACACAACGATCAAAATCTTCGATGATGTTCCAAAAGAAAAAAAATTGAGCAAATATTATGCAGTGCAAAGCTATGACGATTTTGTACGCGGTATCAAGTTTTGCGAAAGATATGATCTATCACGCAATAGGACTTTCGTTTAAGTCTGAGTAGTACTGAAATCGCAGTGAGGGACAAGACAGGATCAAAAAGTAATCTTAAAGCAAGATAGGTGAGTCTGATCATTTTGTGTTACTTAATGTAAGAAAAAACATTTGCAATTTGCTTTTACCGTAAAAAAGGGCTTGATAGGATATCTCCTCCAAAGCGGTAGCCAACAAATTTCGCTTCAACCTTACTACTATTTGTATTGTGAGTGAAAATATCTCGAGTGTAATATTAGGGTGAACGGTAAAAAATGGAACACCTTGAGAATAATTGCAGATTTCTTAAGGAAGAAATGTGGTTGAACTTTCCAATATTGGTGGATATTAGAATAAATTATTCTCTTTCAGAAAGTACCTGTATAAGGTCATTTACACACCTAGTAACTTTTATACTTGCTGAAGTGCAAAGTTAGTCACTTCGACAAACCATGAACTTCGAGCAGTTTCTGCGCAGTCAAACATGTGAGACCACCCAAAGTACCACTGCTGCAATGGGTGGTGGGACAGTCACCAAACCCACGACGACTTGGTGGCATCAACTTTCAAAGTCAGGAGATATGGCCATTAACAGCTTTGAGAACGAAGATACGCGTTATTCAATTCTTTGCAGGTGAACGCATGTTTTCTAGGTATCATCTGATAGAGCTTTTTACGCTCTATCCATCCATATGCAGCTTACCTCAGATTTCATCTAGCTTCGAAAAATGTAGGGCAAAACATGATTTTTTTGGTTTTTTTATTGCGCCAAAAATAGCTGTTTTTCAGGGTTTTTCGCTTTTTTTTTCTGAAATTGAGAAGAAAACTCATGCATTTAACAAATCAATTGAAAGAGCATAAAGAGCTCTTTCGAATGGTATGTAATTTGCTATACAATTTTACGGTATAGCAGCGCAAGATTGAGAATTGTTCAAAAAACCCTGTCTGAGTTCTTCAAGGCGCCACGCGTAGGGTAGTGGAAGAGGAGCGTTAACGCGTTGTCAGAATAATAGGTGAAGGTCGCCCATGTAAGCGACATTTAAGTTGCAGCCTACTTGCTGTTGCTCGAAACAAAAAACTCCAAAATGTAACTAAAATCAAGCTGTCCCATTTTTTACCGTTCACCCTAATAAAATAAATTTACCATGAAACTTACTTCAGGGGGTATCCGAAGTAGCTACGTTTCCCGTATCGTAGTCGGCTGGCTCCATTGATAGCTGATGCGAACTCGCTCATATCGCTTTTCTTCTCGTACGACAAGACACTGGAAATTAAAAATATGATCATAGAGATTAATTTTTTGGTTTAACTTTTACTTTCAAAGCCTATCATGAAAAAAGAGTTATAAACTATATCCTTACGGAATCATAGTGCAGAATAAAATTATAGCAGCAAAAATATAATAGAATATTGACAGCATAGTCCTTAGTATAGTTAAAACAATTCGTAGACTAGGAAGCAAATCTACGGCCTAGAATATGGTAACAGTGAAGTATCCTAGAGGCGGAGCCAATGATTATTCTTGCCAGGATCAGATGACGTATGCCAGACTAGATATAGTCGAGCGAGCAAATGCGATGCTCCCTTTCTTACAAATGAAATGAGTTGTTTGTTAAGCCAGTATGCTCAATGATCAAAATTAAGAAAGGTTTTCGACGGTTTCGCAGGTAGAACACTGTAACGCGATATCTGGTTAGGTTATTTCATAACCGCGCCATTGATTTCATTACAATTTATCATTGATCAATGTATATTTTGTACCTTGCATAAAAGGCGGGCTCGACAGTGCGATATTCATCGTTTCTGTTCTTTTATTTCAACAAAATGTTTTTGTTCATTACTGACATCTTACTCGGTGAGTAACATTAATGTTTAACTATGTAAGCTGGCTGAACAAAAAATGTATGTACATTCCACAAACGTATTGTATAATATCAGGTTGGCTAATAAAAAATACTATTGCTTTTGCGGATAATGCGGTGTGCGCTTCATGGGAATTGGAACGTAAATCATTTTTCATTAAAGGACTTCACTGCAGATTGCCGTTTGCTGTATATTGAAAACTTGCCTTATCCAATTACCAAAATACGCATCTCTACCGACCCCAGCATGAAAACGAAGCTTAGGAAGTCACAGAGCTGAGTAGGAAATGGTCAGAACTCAACCCATCCATTTGAAACAAGCTTTATTTCGTCCAACTCGCCTTGAAACACTGATTTCGAATATATGTTTATTAATTGCCAAGCGACTATCTGGTTGTGTTATGAACGTTCAAATATGAAAAATTATTCGATTTCCAAGTAATATAGTTCGTATAAACAGCCTGATAGCGTGAATTTACAATTACAAGGAGGAAGCACATCCACCAAAAACCTAAAAGTGTTTTTGAACTTATTTCGTGCAACATGCGTCACAGAACACTTGACAAATCGCGCCTTTAAACGCTCATAACTCTTTCCAAATAGTCGCTTGGCAAATAATAAACCTATGTTTGTGATCTGTGTTACAGGACGAGTCTATGATTTACAGCATGTTTGATATGGCTGGGTTAAGTTCTGACCATTTACAGCCTTTTGGAAATTTAGGCATGTTGGGGCATAACTTTCCTCCACTGTGTGGAAAAATCTGAGTGATTGACATTCGAAAGTAAAAGCATTGAACGACTTCTTGCAAAATTCGTGGATAAGAAACGACAAAATTTTCTTGAAAAATTCATGCTAAAACGACTCTTTTCAGCGAAATCAATGACCTAGTGACCTCTTTTTTATTCTTAATCTTTAACTTCTAAGTACAGTACCGCTACAATTCTTCCTGTGGTTCTTCGTCCCCCTTGTTCGTCACATACCTATAGGGCATTGTTATGCTGCAGTACAAATGGACCAACGAGTGTAAACACCATGTTCGATCGAGATAAAACCTTTATCCATTCATACTCAACGGAGTATAAAGTACTAAGTGAGTGAAGACATGACGGAGTGTTGCCATTACTATGAGTTTGGACTCTTGGAGCTATCTGCGTCGAAGTACCGCCTTAGGAAGTACAGAAAAACTGAGAAGGTTATGATTCACAGAGAAGATTTTGCTAACTCAAATTTGAGACTCTACGAAAAAAATCGTCTAGCTTTGGGTGCTCTAATCTTTTAATTAGCGCTCATAAAAAACTGAAAAACGTGGTGGGCTTTCCGAGCAGCAACATGCAATGCTTCAATTTCAATTATTTTTCAATTATGAGCTTCAATTTCTGCATCATCATAGCACTTTCTTTCGTGCAACCTGCATCACTTAAGCTTGAAGCTAAGCTGAGCCTAAGATGCTAGATTAGTTTTTATTAGCCAGTGAGTAAGCCTACAACTTCCTTATTCGGAGCCGCTTTCTCTGCTGAGATAAGAGCTTCTCTAGAAAATGGATGCTACATAATATAATAATGAATCAAAGGATCAGCATTTAGTGAAAAGTCGATCAAATCGTTGATTATATTAAAATTTAGGTGGAATTAACGTAAATATCTCTTCCTTCCTTCTTTTTTTCCTTTTATTCGATAAGCAAAGTTTCCACTTCTATACATACTTCCGGCAGGTAATCCATTAGAGTCTCTCTTGACTTTTTTGGATGGCGGGAAAGAACCCACCATCAATTTGTATCGGAAAGCAAGAATACAACATTGTATAAGTGGGCGACTTTTTGTACAAATCAGGTTCTGATAATGAAGTTTCAAAAGACACAAAGTATCACTTTTTGTCACATTACACCTCCCCCCCCCCCTCCACCCTCATGTTTCGAGGCTGCAAGCTCTCAGCCATGACCAAAGACACTTTCCACTGAAAATGTAACATCTGTCTTGCATGATATGCATTTTTTAGTTGAAAACGAAATAACTTCCTACGGGTTACTGCATAACAGAGCCGCGAGGTCTTACCTTTACAGCTGAAGCTGCGTGTCCGAATAAATTAGCAGTGGAGACTGTAAACCTACGCAATTTTTTGGTCATTTGCGTGTTTGTAGGTTTACCACCAAATCAGCGAATCACTTTCAATATAAGTGATTATCGAAAATCTCTAAGCACGCTTGGGAGAGACCACGAATGTTAAAATATCACAGCATCAAAAGCAAATCCACTAAGGACGAAAGTGGAACCCATGCTTTTTCTTTCAACACAACATTGCTGTTACAATTTGAACCTATTATAATTTGATTCCAACACTCATTGTGGCTAGATTCCAGATAATTCAAAATAGGTTGTACTTTCCTCTTAGAATTAGATAGCACATTTTGAAATTTGAAGCATCCTTATGGCTGGTAAAAAAAACTATCTATAAGTTTTTCAAAGGAACATGTTCAAAATGGGACTTCGACTAAACATGTAATGAGTCAGAATTTTGGTTATTTCAATCTGCAAAATGATGGGAAATTCGATACCCAATTGTGATATAAAAGTCTCTTCACTTGCTACGCATTTCTTCGAGTCTACACCATGTATTACATGACCATGAGGCTTTAGAGTAGATCTCAGGATAATCAGGTCCCAACTGCTTGCTAAAGATTAGGAGTCTAGCAAACATCCATTTGCACTTTTGTGCTCAAAAATACAACGACACTCTTTGAACTTGCATCGCTAGTTGAACTTTTTACCAGCGTATCTTAATGTACATAAGACGTTAATTAGGTCAATAAATTACAGTTTCAAAAAAGTACCTCCGAAAAGAAAGAAAAAGAAAAAAAGAAAGGCATCAATTTTTTCTGGGCAACCATTTCCGTAACTGCCGTCTGAAAAGGCAGTACGAAAGCATAAATTTGCACATACTTGAGAGGAATATAAATACATGCCGTAAAATACTTCATGTAAGACTTGACATGTGGTGAACTTTGAGACGTTTGTATCATTTTCCGGAAATATGCTCAAAATAACGACAACCATTTTACAAATCTCAATTACTTTTCCACGATTTTCACGAGAAAAACGAATGAAATCATAAAAGAAGAGCTTCACTATAACGTTTCACTCTTGCAGCCGCGGATTTGCATCAAACCAGACCAGTAGAGCGAAACCAAAGTAATTTCCCTAATGACACAATATTTGGAAGAGTAATCGCCACAAAGTTTTGTTGCGATCACGTCGATTATAAACCTGCCTTATAAAGATCAACAATAAATTAAATTTCCTAGGATTTGAAGGATCTGCAAGCATAAAAAAGAAATCAAAAAATAGAATTCGAAATTTCAATTAGAACGAAGATTATGAGCTCCATTTTGCTCCCTCTTTGGGCAAAATTATTTGATTCCTCTGTGTTTTTCGCAGCTTCTCTAGATGTTTTCCAAATTAAAGCTGCAGATTTCCAAGAATATTTGCAATAACCATACATTTGACATTTTTAAAAGAAAATGGAAAACGCTATGATGTCCACAAGTGTCCATTATTTTCAATTTTCATTCTTCCATATAATTCCAATCTAATTGAACTAATCTCTTCCTACAGTAACGGATGTTTTTCTTCTTTAGGACCGAATCTTTTTCTTACGTATACTAGCACACTTTTTACTGCTTTGGAACAACACATAGATCGCATTATATGTTGTTATGCAAAAGATTAAACCAAAATTGCTCGTGATGTTGTAAGATGATAACACATTTTGGCTTTCAAAGATTCATAGGCTTTGAAGATTTGTTGAGCTACTTATAAGGGATTTTCTCTAGACATTATTTTATCTTCGAATGGATCGAAGAACCACATATTTTGCTTTTGCTCTCCTCTGTTCCATTACGCTAGTAAAAGACGCACCTGGACATGGCCACTGAAAGCAGAACAATTGTCGCGATATATACGTGCTGCATGGTACCTGCAAATTAGTAATTTAGTAAAAAAACAGACAAAGTGTATACGTTTTCAAGGAGCGTAGAAGATATTTGAGGGAAAAAGAGCACGAGCATTGAGCGAAGCATTTTTAGTGCTAAAAGCTTCTGGAATTTCGAGGAGGAATGCAAATTGAGTTTACATACGATCTTTGAAGAGAGGATGATAGAATGCATGAACACTTGTGGACATCATAGCCTTTTCCAGGAATGCAAGTGTGAATAGAGTAGCCGTGCTAGGAGATTTGGGAGTTAATCTTGGATTTTTCAACTTGCGTGTGTACTTCTCGTCATGCTATGTGGTAGGTGGCATCGTTGAAGTTTTGGACATTTGCAAATTTTCTATTTAAGCGATTTAAATACGTAGGTGGAGGTTTTTAAAAGAGAATACACTGAGAAAAAATACCCTTTAGCATGTTAACGACAATGTGCGTTTTCAGTTGTCTTCCTCTTGGCGCAACGCCTTCCACGAATAAGTCGAAATTTTTAGCAAAAAATGCAGATCATCAACTACAGTATACCTACAGTAATTACATGAAGCAGGCGATAACACAAAAACAATTTCTAGGGTAAAACTTGAGAGAACTTTTGAAACGAATCTATTCCAAAATAGAAGTCTTTTTGACAAAGTTTAAGCGACCTAGCGTGTGGGTCACATTGTCCCAGGTGGCAGATTGCATGACCCACCTTGTTTCACGATGTTGCCAATGTTAACCAAAGCTAGACATAGGGACAGAATTTCAATCGAGGAAATTTCGAGCAAATCAAACGAAAAGGCTCTAGATTTACTTACGCAAGATTGCTGATGTAATTTTTAGCATATTCTGAGAGTAGTGGGGAGCAGTGGGTGTATATTAGACAGCTTTTCTCTGTTTTTTACTGTTCACTGCTTCCGAAAGCAGAATCACTGCAAATTTCCTATGAAGAGGTAGAACTCTTTCGCCAAAACTATGTTTTTTTTGCTATTAATACATAAAGTATAGAAAATTGAAGTAAATGTTACTGTTGCTTTACGGTATTGAACGAGTTGGCTAATAAATAATTCTGGTCGCTTTTGAGACTCCCACAAATGCTGCAACCAAACTTTTATCCAGTATTTGGTATCTTTGGAGAGGGCATTTCAGTGGGGAACTGGAATTAAATTCCATTTAAGTAAAATTGTTTTCCTTCAAAAGAATAGTGAGAACTAAGATATCCTAACTTTCTCAATGCGCACAAATGTGAGAAAATTTCGTTTTTTTTGTTCAGAAAATTTCCACGTGGTAGATCATAATTCTGATTGTTATTCGCTAAATTGAGAAGGCTTGTGCAACCATATACCAAACTATTCATCTCTACATCCATTACAGCAAGAAGATGAGGCCTAAGATGTGACAAAACTGAGCTTTTGAAAATTTTGCCATATTGGGGCATAATGAACGTCCTTCGCTGTTAGTAGAAAATTCTCACAATGAGTAGCTGAAATGTAATAGTAAAGTTTTTTGATCTACTTCCCCGAAAATCGAGGACAAAAACAGCAAGAAAAGTTTTTATATAGATTTTCATGCCAATCGAAAATATTTTTTAACCCTAGATGAGAGCTTCTTTCCTACCTCAACTGAGTGATTAATTCTTCTTAGCAATAGACCGTGATGTAAAGGAAACACTATTTAATGGCGCATGATCACTGGTGGCTGAAGCAGGAGCAAAACCAAGTTATAACTCTCTTAATCCAGGAAAAGTGCCAACAATAGAGCTGATATCAAATTATCTGCGCACTAATGCGGTAGGGTTTTTTTTCAGGTAGACAATAATATGCAATTCTGTCAGTGATCAGTGTTCAAATGGATCTCTTCAAAATCACTCCTCATCCATTCGAAATGGCTGCAAATGTTTTATAAATTTGAATCATAAGAAGAAACAAAAGGGAAAGAAAGAATTAGAGAGAAAAGAAAATTATGAAAAATGATAAGAGAGCAAAGTTTTTAGCAGGATTCGATCTCTGTATACCGTGAAAAATAACAAAACTCGATTGTAATCTCGTAATAGCAGAATGTATGAAAAACACAAGACAAATAAAGTGGCATCTGTGAAAAATATCTCAAGCTCTAGACAAATTTAGTATGGATAGCTTACACTCCAGCGATGCGAGTTCCAACGAAAGTTTTTTTAGACATCGACTAGAAAAACGATGCATCTATCACTTCATTGAAATGTAGTTTGTATCAAGAACATAAGAGGGTCATGCACATGCTGGGTTCATTCAAAGCATTTCGAAAATTTTCTGTTAGTTTTCTAGTTAGAGGAGCACAGATTGAGTATGCATAATTCACGAGCAGCTAGTTGAAACAGCACATCCTTAAATCAAATTTGACATCGTCGTTGATTGCTTCTAGAAAGTTCCTTTGGAATTTTCTGCTGAAGTAAGACTTTCCGAGCCCTCGAATCAGCCTTCTTCGCAAAAAAAAATAAAATGCAGCAATAGCCCCTACGGCAACGAAAGAAATCAACAACATGCAATCGTAGGGTTCAGTCATATTTCTTGACATAATTATCCAAATCTTTAATTAAGCCTCGCTTTTGTTTTTGTTTTTCGAAGAACAGATGATGTTGTCAAGACTACATTGAATCAGTACTAGTCTAATGTATTATAGGATAAAAATTTTGAATTAGCAAATTCGTATCTCAAATGCATCTTTTGCCATGGATCGTTTCCCGCTGCAAATTGAAAGAGAAGAGATTTAAAAAATAGATGAGCAATATGTATAGCCAAATGAAGTTTTAAGCAGAATTGCCAATGTTTACATTGAAAAAGCATGGCCAAGACCAAAATTTTAAAGTTTATGTCTGCAACTCAAGAAAAAGAAGAAGATTAGGATAGCATTTGGATTGAACAATAGGCTCTGCGCATTTGGATTTTTCATTACATAAACATTCAGCAAATTATACATCGTCAGTTGAGCTTATGGCTTTAAATTTCGCTTCACATTAATCCAAATCTAATTGCTGAGAAATTTTCATACAAGACATCCTAAGATTTTTTATGGGATTCTTGAAGTCGAGTTCATTTCGGAAACACCTTCTAAATTTTCAAAGAAAGAAGGGAGAGAGGGGGGGGGGGTCTTACTTCGATAACGCGATATTGTAGAAATTTGCGGCGCTTACCAATATAAGGTTCGAACTGTAGTGCAAGAGGGACCTATAAACCTCCAGTTTTGCATCATTTTTGTAAGTTCGTGGAAGAGAAGCATAAAAGCCAAACTATTTCGCTAATTGTGTAAAAAATACAGTTGCTGATTTTAAAAATGGGAAGCCAAAAGAAATGAAACAAAAGTTGCTTAGTTACGACGAATCGAGAAGTGATGTCACAGTTCTAGGTTCCAGACTCTTTTACAGACTAAAAATTGCTGAAAAATAAATCTTCGTTAAAAAAACTGAGCTAAGCAGAAGCTAAAACGAAGAGAAGATTTTTTCCTGAATAAAGCTAGAGATTTTCTCGAAACCAGCGAAAGACAGAAGTATTAGATTGAAGGTGGATGGGCGGAACTTGGCTTGGCGTAGTGAGGTGGGAAGCCCCGTGATATGGACTTGCGTGCTAATTTTACGGACCACGCACCAAGGGCTGGCTGTGTGGCTTCGAACTAATCTCAAAAGTCCCAGATCCATCAAAGTGACTCAGAGAGCTTGCTATAGCCAGGCAAGTAAACAGGCTTCTCATATACTCAGGCCTGATCGCTGATGTGCAGGTCAGTTCTCGGTCAATTACTTAAGAACTAGGGACAATGAAAAAAAAAGAACAAAAATTATTGGGTTGGTACACGAGTTTTGCAACTTCTTCCATACTTTTTCCCTTATGAGTGTGGAGCTCTCATTTTTGGCGTTATATAGATACTGATGTGAGCTATAAGGGTGCGCTGAACCGCTAGCACAAATTTTGATGTTTGGTAACATTCTGGAGTTCCGGGGAAGGTCTGTAGATACTCTCACTCCGTCTAAGGGCAGGAACGAAACGGAGCCTTTTGGTTATTTACACATTGTAAAGGGAAAACATTTCTTCTCATTTTTGTTAATGATAGGGAGAATTTGAGTAATTTCCTGAAATTGCCAAAAACGAGTTCAACAATTTTCAAGCAAAAATAAAGCCGTGCACAACCGGAATCCAACACTTTAAGACGGAGCTGTTGTTGTTACAGATTGACTACTAGACTCCGTTAAAGAAGAAAATCTGAAGATAAATCAAAGTCTGGCGTCCTCGAAAATTTCAAGTCGAATGCGTTGGATTTAGAGGGACATCCGTTAATGGGTAAGTCGTCACAAAATTTGCTAAGTGGGTTACTTCGACACGCTGATCAATTATACTCATTCGTTGCTAAGACGAAAATTCATACCTTAACATCATGGAAGAAGCCCTCACGCAGGTTGGTATTATCATTTTTGAAATCAGCATGTGGAATAATCTTCTACAACATATCGGCAAAATCTGGAGCATTAAAGTTTTTGCTCAGAAACCCTAAAACTTCCATAATCCTTACATGCAATGGCGAAATTCGGCAAAAATGGCTGCATCTGTAGCTTATCGTAGCCCACATCATAATTTTTATAACGCCAAAGAATGAATGCACCACATTCAAGAATACAAAAGTCATATGAAAAGTTGTATTACTTATGTAGGTAAAGCCTACATTTTAGATTCAATCAACAGAGAGGCAAATGTAGAAATTTGCTTTATTTTGAAAGCCTTATTGAAAATCTGTGCGAAAAGCAAATTTTATCCTGGCTGCGCTTCGTTCCTCCCCATGAAATAGATAATAATCCGCGCTCTTCTCGAAACTCCAAAGTAAGCAAGACTCCGGGAGATCTATAGTACGATAACTTTATTTTAGTATAGACGATTTGAATTTCAAAAAAAAACGTTACATAGTTATGACTCAACTAATTAGCCTATTTTTTTAATGAATACATAGTTGCGGCTTTTGCTCGAAGGTCCTTCAACATCTCGAAAGAAAACGAC